ATGTTTATGGTGGTGGGGCAGCGTGAATTTTTGTTGTTGTCTATCACGTATTTCAAAAATGCAGCACCATTGTTATTTTCATTGTTCGTTATTTGTTACATTAATTGTTTAATGTAACAAATAAAGCAACAAACTCACCACTGGTAGTGAGGAGTGAGTTGACTCCCACCACTGGTAGTAAGGAGTGAGTGGACTCCCACCACTGGTATTGAGGAGTGAGTGGCCTCCCACCACTGGTAGTGAGGAGTGAGTGGACTCCCACCACTGGTAGTGAGGAGTGAGTGGACTCCCACCACTGGTAGTGAGGAGTGAGTGGACTCCCACCACTGGTAGTGAGGAGTGAGTGGACTCCCACCACTGGTAGTGAGGAGTGAGTGGACTCCCACCACTGGTAGTGAGGAGTGAGTGGACTCCCACCACTGGTAGTGAGGAGTGAGTGGACTCCCACCACTGGTAGTGAGGAGTGAGTGGACTCCCACCACTGGTAGTGAGGAGTGAGTGGACTCCCACCACTGACAGTAAGTGGAGAGTAGACACCCCCACCACTGGCATGGTTACTAGCGAGTCTAGCTTGTGGTTATGATAAGAGAAGTTCGTTATCACAAAATATTTGACTATTTACAGACTTAAAAATGTTCAATATTACACGATAACGTAATATAGCGAACAAGTACGCAACGGAAGTCGCCAGTGCGTGTATGTGACGAGCTCAGAGATGTGGGTTCGATTCCATCGTACGGCCTCAGTATTTTCTTAGATTAATCACGCTGTTGTGGTTTTCACTGTGCAAGCAGTTATACCACGTTAAACATTTAGCTTGACTCTTGAGAGCCCTGTGGAACAATGGCTGCCCAGCCCGTCCTCTCTAGCGTTCCTATCGTCACACAACTGATGTAATAAATTGCCCGAACCTACCCTAACCCAGGACCCACGAACAGAAAACGGGATATCACGTCAATTTGGGAGCCGCTATGATATTTAGTACATCAGTTTTTTTTACCTTAATAGGATTTATACGTCAAAATGCCATGTACTGTTCGAGAGGACGCGTTGTTGAGGTGGGTTATGGCTGAATGGTTCAACCCATATATATGCTTGAAAGTCATAAATACACGTAATGCGTAAACTGGATGTTGAAAAATCAGAGCACGTTAGAATGTGTAGTAATTTATTAAAACTGACATATAAGAAGTAGCGTCATTGTGGCAAATATCTGGAACACCTGTAAATACATTATACAGGTTTGTGAGTGAAATTGTGTAAATGTAAATAGTACCTGCATTAGAAAGTGTATGCGCCGAAGTTCATTGTCCTCAAAATCTTGGAAAATTTGGACCAGGTCCTACTGACCAATCGTCAGTTCCATACTGACCCATTGTCTCCAAACTTGTTCCATTTTTAACACTTTAGGTATATCTGCATTTATGTAGCTACTCTAGACTATACGAATGGGGGGAGTACATAGTATATCAAGAACTAGTTACATGATTCTAAAAGTCCCCAACTCGCAGGATGATTAGTCGGTATGTGATCAGTAGCCTGCGCTGGCAAATTTTGGGTGCATTATGAGGATATTCCTCAAAGAATCTTACACATACATAGTTTCTAAATATAAATTTGTTCTAAGCCTCATATTAATCTGTGGTTAAGATGCGCCCTCCCCCCCCCCCGTCTGGAAAATCCTGTGCAAATAACGTTTAACTAATAGTAAATCAACGTTGATTAAACGTTACTCGAGCATGGTGCCCTATGGGCGACTCACATCAGTTTTATTTATATATTCATTATATTATATCCTCTTTATTTATTCCTATCGCACATTGGTACACTTTAAAACAAAGAAATACTAATAAAATCAGGCGAAGACGCAGCAGAGCGTCCAAGAAAGCGAAAGGTTCTAGGCCTGGGAAAATGAAAACAGGAAAACATAAAGTAACGGTGCACTGTGGCAGCAATGGAAGCCTAGCAACATTATGGTGGAGCACGGAAAGAAAACTTTGAGTGAAAATTGTTGTAAATTAAGGTTTGATATTTCTGTCACAATATACTTTTGTGCTAGTGTGTGTCTAGGCTATAAAGTATTTGCACCGACAAGATGGTGGTTAGTTAGTGGTTAAGACGCTCGCCTGGCATTTCGCTAGCGCTTTGTCCTGGGTTCGTATCCTGGCCGGGGAGGATTTACTGGGCGAAAATCCTTAACTGTAGCCTTTGTTTAACCCAACATTAAAATGGGTACCTGGTTGTTAAACGATTTGGCGGGTCGTATTCCGGGGACCGTACGATTAAGGACTTGAACGAAACGCTACGCGTACTGTACAAGAATGTACACACGCGTAGCGAATGATATATAATTCATATATATTCTATATATAGAATATATATGTATATAAATTATATAAATTTATAATCTGGGGATTTAAAAATGATTCTGGAAATATACAGTAATTGATATCCATTCTCTAGTACTGTGGTGACCACTGTTGGCCTCTTAAGTAGTACGGTAATAGTACCTAGAACATTCTGTAGAACGCTACTGGTCTGTTGTAGTAATGTAGTAAGATTGCTCGTAATTTATTTTACAAGAACTTGCTAGTGTAATGAGTAGTAATACCTCTCATATTTATGTTTGTTAAATTTGAAAGATTTCCTGGTCTATTACTTGAATTTTGCTATCGTTGTGGGAATTGCCATTTTCTAAGTTTACTGCTCAACTATTACGATGATTCATGGAGCGTTGCGATATTTGGCAATACGATAGACTAACGTACCGTTATAGCCAGATAGAATAACGTAGCGTTATAGCCCGATAGGTTAACGTAGCGTTATAGCCCGATAGGTTAACGTAGCGTTATAGCCCGATAGGTTAACGCAGCGTTATAGCCCGATAGGTTAACGTAGCGTTATAGCCAGATAGGTTAACGTAGCGTTATAGCCAGATAGGTTAACGTACCGTTATAGCCAGATAGGTTAACGTACCGTTATAACTATAATATATAACCTACGAATTTGGCCTGAAAATGGGCGTCGTGCAGCACTGCCAGCCGTCAAGTTCTGTTTACTACTCGAAATATAACTGCCTTAACAAACGTATTATTCTCGGAAAACACTATTAGAAAGCAGGTGGTTAACACTCATTGAAAAAAATTTTAACAGCTTTTCCTGCCTCAAATTTTGAGAAATTCTGAACACAGCCGTTTCCTATCCAAAAATATGACACAATTTGATTTTAATAAAAGCCACACACATAGTTTCCTCCGACGTACTAGATAATTTAACACATATCGCTGGAACTATTTGCACGATTGCATATACATAACACAGGCAAATGTCTTATGTATAAGAGATAATAGAAAATAGGTTATGGCGACTCAGTCCGTTCTCAAGAGTAAATCCATTAGAACGAGAAATGTACAGGAATAGGCTTCGTGTCACCGCTAACTTGAAATCCAATAGCAGGGAACGCCCACGTCTCCCATGATGCTGTGCATAGATGGCGTAAGGAACATACAAATGCCCATATCTCCATAGTTAGGCCTACTATCGACAGAAATAGCAAGAGAAGAACATCCAGCTTTCCCTAGGTAGGCTTGCTGTCGATATACATATAGCGTAAAACAACCCACATGAACACTCCAGTTCTCCATTGGGAGTGTCGATAGGTAGGTCAACACAAGAACGCCCATATATCTCCCTCGGTACTAGCTGTAGATAAAGCAGTACATAAAACGTTTTTTTACGCTTTCAGTGACACCGGAGTACCCCTGAATTTTACCAACTCTAAATATTATCAAATATCCTACAGCATCTACATTGTACCTTAAGACATCCTCATCATGCCGTAACAATGCACATGCCATAAATATCCACATACCATAAGAAATGCATTCATTAAACAAAACAAAATTAGACCCGATTATTTTTTATGTTGGTTAATGGTCTCAAGTTTTCTGGGAAAGGAAGAGCCCTCTAGCCAACGACTGGGCACTCCCCAGGATACGCCACACAATAGTTGCCTAACTCTGGGAAAAGTGGAGGAGGGGTCTGAACGTGTGTAATTATCTAAGAGTAGTTATGAGACAAGAGCTGCCTACACTCGTGGTTTCCAGTCTTCTCAGTATTCCTCGTCATAGGCTGCTTTGAAACTACTGATACTTTTGGCATTACAAATCTTCAATGGTTTTCAAACGAAGTTGGCATATGAGGACGGATTGAAAGCACGGGGCTTGACCACTTGAACCATCCGGGATCGAACGCCGACCTTGGTTATAAATAATAAATTTTGTTGTCGGGACAGGCAGCTTGTGTATGTATATCCGTTAGGATTATACAGTGGTCCTGTAGCAACTATATTATGTCAGTACCTCTTAGACCAAGCCTGTCTAACCGTCGGTTATCTAGTGTACTGACTTACGAATGTTTCCTCTATCATATCTACTATATATTTCTGTCTCTCACACATTCCCAGGATGCAGCCCGTAGCAGCTGTCTAACTTACAGGTACCTATTCATTGCTAGGTGAACGGGCATCAGGTGAAAATAAAACTGCCCATTTGTTTCTGCCTCGACCGTGAATCGAACCCGGGGCCTTGGTGCTACGACCCTAGAGAGCTGTCCACTTGGTGCGTGCGTGCTCACTTATTTGCTTGAGAGGGTTGTGGACAAAGTGCCTATGCCTTTAAAAGACAGGCAGGAGATCCTTAACCCAAGCGTGGGCTCTCACATCTACTTTTTAATCCATATATGGTCTGCCTTCATCACTGATTCACTACCCTGACCTCATGCTGTTTCTAATATTTCAGACTCATTCGAGTATTAATTAACGATCTGCATACTCGCCACACGTTTTGCCCCTCCCCCTTATCGCACTACATTTGTCCGTTCTCCAATCTTGTTAGTTGTTTCTAAAATACTTTTATCACTTCACATATTCTGCAATGATTTTGGCGACGTTCAGTGTCACACTACATAACCCCCACGTTGGCCCAGACGAGGAATCTTACCATGTGTGGCTACGGTCGCCACAACACTGTCTGGGGGACGGACCTCTGGCGCCCGTGGGAGACGTGCGTACGGGAGAGACTGGCGGCCGGTCTGTTTATCGCTCCAAGGTTCTGGGGAACCCCGCCCCGTACAGGACCCGTCTGTGTCGGGTTCAACCCGCGGCTCCACGTGTACGTTGACGTTTGAACATAATCCATACGACATGTTTCCTGGTGGTGACGTGGAAGATACAAATATTGCAACGGTTATTTTTTTTATTTTTTTGACATTACTTCGTTGAACTTACGCTGTGCAGTAAATTTACATTTCTTTCAGTTTTTTTATTAATGTTTTATTAATAAATTTATGTATTCAATTTCTTTTTTAATTATGCACCCCATACCCATCCCGTGGGCGGTGGTGTAAAGGATTACAGAGGCACATAATTGGTTCAGGAACTGAACCCTCTAGTTCGTTTAGCTAAGCAAATAACAATCTTTTGACGCTAGTTACAAAATTATTAATGTTATATATACATGTACACATACTCATGCATACATGTACATATACATACGTATACATATATACATACACATACATATTTAATCACCCACACAAATACATACACATATATACATATTTAATCACCCACACAAATACACACATCAATAATCTTTTGTGTCACAAGTGATTCAACAAGAGGTTCACAACAGTCACTATATAAGGCACTTTACATCTATGGTGAGTCACACAGTTACTAGTCTTGCTGCACACCCACACAACTGGGCGGCAGCTTTACAGTCATGTGCTCCACACCCACCCAACTGGGCGGCAGCTTTACAGTCATGTGCTCCACACCCACCCAACTGGGCGGCAGCTTTACAGTCATGTGCATGCATTACTTACAGTAAGCAAATTTTAGATACTTCGCTAAGATTTCGGGCAGCACATCATCATGAATGAAGTACTTACACATTTCTTGGACATTATTGATGGTGTTATCTCTATATTCCGCAATTTTTTCACATTCCATTATATAATGACGCAAAGTATGCGAATAGTTCTGCTGACAGAGTTTACATTTAGTCAAATCTACATCAGCAGATGTTACAAATTCCCAGAGGTACTTGTACTCGAGCCTAAGCCTAGCAGTGGTAACATCTAGAAGTCTGCTAACCTTATTGGATGACCCATAGACGTGCGGTAGTTCCTGCATAATAGAATGATGATAGATGGAGTAACTGGTGTGAATTTAACTTTGCCTCAAGTCTCCGAAATTTAGTTGATGTTCCCGGAATATTACTGCCCTCAGGCTGCTCAAAGGCAGTCGAAGTTGGTAATCAATTCCCTCTTTTCGAGCAAAAGTCTTGGCCAACTCATCAATTCTTTCAAGCATTCGATCAATAAATTTATGTAGGGTCGATATATTGTCAGCAATATGACCATTTCTAAAAATATATAGTTTAATAGTATGTCATTTATATATATATATATATATATTTATATATATATATATATATATATATATATATATATATATATATATATATATATATATATATATATATATATATATATATATATATATATATATATCATTTTTAATATAAGGGGTTAGTGAGAACAAAAGCAATTAGCAATAAACGGCGTAAAACTAATGAGAACAGCGTTAGTCATGCCGTAAATGTTTGTAAAGTGTAACAATAGTGCAAGAGTGTACGATCGCTCCAACCGTCAGTGGGATGTGGCCGTTGCTGCCGGGCAATACGTACGATTTCTGCCAGTACTCGTTCACCTCTCAACTGCTATTGTATATCGGTAAGCAACCGATGGAATCTCTATTTGCCAGATAGAGATAAATTATCTTATAAGAGAATTATAAAAATACTACAAGAGCTTTAAACCTTTAGTGTCGATAATAAACTTGCAATTGTATGGAATAGTGTGTGCCATATGGTGCAACATATCGTACGTTTCCCGGTACGGGTACTATATAGGACTTAATTCCTGTACCTGGGATTTTACGTCCTATTCCCCCCTCGAAATATTATTTTGTTTTGTTTTCTCTGTAGTTAGTTTAATTAGCTATAGATTTAGTGCACAGAGCATTGTCAAATAGTTCATTGGCAATTGACAGGTGTAAATTTTACATTGTCATCACTTTCATTGGCAATTAATTCTCATTTGTCAACTATATAATTGTCATTTATAAGTGTTAATTATTCCATTGTAATTGATTATTCATTGCCAATTAATTGCTATAAAGTTATACATGTACGATTTGGAATGGTACATTTATTCTATTGTTATTATTGATACTTTGCTCTTAAGTTACACATGTAATATGCTAGTCCATTTAATTTATAGTAGTGACTGTACAGGTATTCACTAATTTAAAATTTCAATGATAAAAGTTATATTCCAACTCTAAGTTTGAGTTTAGCTTGACCCAGAAAAGGTCGAGCCCGCCCTCGCTCAACCTTGACGGTGAGTGGACGGTGTATGCATGTTGACCGCTGGAATACTCGACTCGAATCGAACTAACTGGGTCTCGACACCACCGTCGAGTATTCCTCTTCAACGGTCCAGTTTGATGCAACCCAAAGCGCCCTCATCGCCTGGGGTTGCTGGAGTCTCGATGTATTTTTCCGGTTAGATCTTCGGGCGGGTACACGGTGTCCGTTACCGGCTTGGCCGGGAACTGGAGGACCTTGGTGGGCGTCTGGCTCTTGCTCAGCAAGACATTTTTGACACGATTCTGCTCTTCGACCGCATCTTTGTTCGACTACAGGACGCCTTTTTTGTCTGGGGGTCACTGGATGTCGATAGTCTTCCTGTTGGTCGTCTCGTGAGGTGGCGTCTGTCGCTCCCCTCGAAGGGGGACTCTATAAGGGCTCACAAAACATGTGATTATCTGTCGACATGTGACGTGTTCATTAGCCGCGAGACTTTACATTGTACACGACACGGGAACACCTGGCCACAGCACTTGTGCCGACGCGGCCCTTACAGCAACACAAGCCCACAGACACGCACGCACACACATACTTGTAATTCTTTGGCGCGGGTTCGATTCCCGCACCAGGCAGAAACAAATGGGCAAAGTTTCTTTCACCCTGAATGCCCCTGTTACCTCGCAGTAAACAGGTATCTGGGAGTTAGTCAGCTGTCACGGGAAATGCAGTGCACTTTAGATAGTATATTATTATCATAGCCTTCTGAAACAGGATTAATTTGCTATTCGAGCACTTAGCCTTTGTAAAGATATCTAAATGTATGATGTGTTGTGTGGTATGTTTCAAACAGGTGAGGTTCGCGGCCCGTCTCTCCCCGGAGGGAAGTGTGGCTGGCAGTGTGTCGCTCTGGAAGCGATCGTGTATGTTCCAGGTGAGGCTTTACGTCCCGACTAGCCTAGCTGGCACTCTCTACTCCACCCGCCTCGTCTGGCCGAATTCTAAATACATCTCAACTGCGGTTTGATGCATGTGGGACGGGGAGAATGAGGGGTAGATCTACATATATTCCAACGGCACTTAGCCGCCTCATCCACCAACACGTTTGTCTACATGTAAATTATTCTGGATTCAATATTCCTGTAGTTTTTTATGGTCTAGTAAAGTAATTTTGTTTGCTAGTATTCGCGAAGTGCAGCGTGTTAGTTATGACAGCTGTGGGTGTTAGTGATGGGATGACTGTCACCTCACTGTGGTGAGTCCCACCAAGTGTGGATGTTAGTGATACTCTACTGTAACCTTCCTTGGTTAATAATCTTCTGTATATATCATTTATTTCTACCTTTCATAAGTTCATACACTGCAGTCTAACCAGCAAAGATTCATGACGAAGATCAACTTTGCCATTTGTCTTTGCTTGCTTTCAAAGAGGATTTTTGGTACATTATGTAATTATTCCCCTGTTTTATGTTCACGGGGGTAACAGCACAAGGCATTTGAGCTACACGGCGCCTGACTTGTGTTTAACACGCCCAGATGAGCATCCTTCCTCCCTCTTATCAGCCTTATCATCTGCCCCAGCTCTCAGCACCGACCCTCCAGTGATTACGTACTCCCCAAGTACAGGGAAAATGCTGTCTGCTATCTCCCTCCTGCCGCTGCCTTATCACGGGTCGTACCAACGGTGCCGGGCCTCGGTAAGCAGTCAGTGCTGCTTTGTCTTGGGCAGTGAAGTACGCAGCAGCGCCTCACTCAACAGATACATCCTCAAATGTTTTCAAACCGGTTGACAGGACTCATAGATATCCAATACACTTGAATTTATTAGATACAGTAATGGGGGCTGGAACATTAGTTGCTCGCAACTCCCAGATGGCTTCACTTGCCTCCTCACTCCTTGGTTATTAATATTGCTTTATTATTTTAAGTATGAATAATGTATTTAAATATTTTATCAATTAAACAAGTGACAAACGCGTGACCAGTTTATCAATGAACGTTTTGAATTCGTATAAACGTAAACACGTACACTTCTACATCATGACGTTCACTTTCAATATCTATACCTTGTTTCCTGGTCAAATTCACAGGTTACGTTTTCCTGCATGATAAACGAATTAGTGCCATCGTATATCCGGCCTTGGAACACGACAGCCAGCCACCCCATCAGTGACGTCACTCCTGTAACGGCCGCTCGCCACGCCATCAGTGATGTCACTCCTGTAACAGCCGCTCACCACGTGTATACACATGTATACAGTAGTAAGAGTATGTTCGTATTTACTTCACGCTATCAATGCGAGCCTAGAGAATGGGGAAAAATTGGCAGGTTACATACCGAAGAAAAATATATAGGGAGATCAATGTTATTCACATAATAAGTTCAGGAAGCGTAGGCAAAAATGTGTTAAACACTGCGTGACGTCACTCATGACGTGGCTGAGGCGCGGTCTGCCAGTGTGGACTAAAACCTGTACCGGCATGAACACTGTGACGTCATAGTGCCACCCCACACTATTTATAAAACACAAAATTGTATCTTATTTTCGTTAGGGGTTTGTCAGGTTAGGTTAGAATATGTTAGGATAGGTTAGGTTACGATATAATAGATTAGCGTTGTTTAAAAAGAATAGTGATGACGTAGTAGGCTACGTAATTTCTCAGGTCTTAGACCCT